ACAACATAGGTGATAAATTACAGTAGTAGTGGCAGCACTTGCATCACCAATAGAAACTACACTTTTTTTTTGAGATGGAGTTTCACTCTCGTCGCCCAGGCTGGAGTGCAATGGTGCCATCTCGGCTCACTGCAACCTCCGCCTCCTGGGCTCAAGCGATTCTCCTGCCTCAGCCTCCTGAGTAGCTGGGACTACAGGCACCGGCCACCACGCCCGGCTAATTATAATTTTAGTAGAGACAGGGTTTCACCATGTTGGCCAGGCTGGTCTCTAACTCCTGACCTTAGGTGATCTACCCGCTTCAGCCTCTCAAAGGGCTGGGATTACAGGTGTGAGCCACTGCACCTGGCCAGTTTTTTATTATTAACATTTAATGATTAAGGTACAGATACTATTCTAAAAGTGACTGCAGCAAACCATGATCTAATTATTTCTGAGAACATGGTCTGTGGATGAATTTTCTCACCTGTTCAATAATTTGCCTCACGGTATTTAACCGGACCACTCCGGTGGATTTCTCAGATCCTGCATCTTTTGGTTCCGTTTCTGCAAAAGCAAAAGCAGGGAGCTAAATAATTGTTTAGAAAACGGTGACAATCAAATACTCCCACCTAGCATCAGCAATGACGGCACACCTGACATTAGGTGCCTCCTAAAGAGATTCAGTGGGAAGGACCCACACAGCCTGCTTAGCGGAAATCTAATCGTGAAGAAACGGTTAGGCCAGTCCAACAGGAAGCATTCTAGGAGACAACTAGCTTGGATTCTTCAAAATATCAGTGTAACAAAATTATTTAGGAAAAAAGAGGGGACTGGAAAGACATAAAAATCACAAAAAGACATAAAAGTCAAATGTCATGAATGATCCTTGGTTGTATCCTGAATTTAAAAAAAAAAAAAAAAAGCTATGAAGCACATAACTAGGATGAAAATGTGGAAAATGGACTATATACGAAATTACACTGTATCAATGTGTTATCTTTCTTGGCTGTGATAATGGTATTGCAGTTATGTGGGAGAAAGTCCTTGTTCTTAGGAGATTCCCACAAGTATTCCGGGATAAAGTGTTATAAATGATTCTACAGAAATATTTGAAAGAGTTTGTGTGTGTGTGTCTATGGTGCAAGGAGTGGGTGAGAGAAAGTGCATGAAAAATGTTAGCAACTGGTGATTCCAGGTGAAGGGTACGTGGGTGTTCACGATTCTTCCAACTCCTTTGTTAGAAATTTTTCAAAATAAAAATATGGGAGAGAAAAAAAAAAAACACTGACAGACTTACTAGCAGTTTGAAACCAGTCAGGTAACTCATTTGCCAATTTTTCCATTGCTATATCAGCTATGGGGCCGAATAAGACCACAGGTCTCTTGAAACCAGCTGAAATGACAAGAAAGGCTGTTAAAGCATACACACTTGCCTAGCTGTTAAGATAAGCAGTAGAAGTATTATATGGGCTTTTGATAACATAACTAAATGAGAGAAACTGTGGTTTCTACCACCCCCAACTCAGCTTGGCTCTGTTCTGAAGAATATGCCTTCACTATCCTCACCATTTAAAACAATTTTTTTCTTTTCATTCAACCACATACTAACCTAGATATATTTTCTTTAAGAGACAAGATCTCACTATGCTGCCCAGACTAAACTCAAACTCCTAGGCTCAAGCGATCCTCCTACCTCAAGCTTCCTGAGTAGCTGGGACTACACTGCCTAGCTCGTCACCATTTTTAAACACAAACTTTGCCACTGATAATATATGGAAACTTTTTTTATTTTTTGCAGAGATGAGGTCTCACTATATAGCCCAGGTTAGTCTTGAACTTCTGAGCTCCAGTGATCCTCCCACCTTGGCCTCCCAAAGTGCTAGGATTACAGGCGTAAGATACAGTGTCCAGCCAATATAAGGAAATTTTTGAACAGTGGTATTAAAACATTTTTTAGGTTGCAGAAATAAGCCTGAATTTAGGAATTGGAACAGCTTTTTATAAAACATGCTCCTTGTTAGAGTTTGATTTCAACTCTATAAACTGCCTTTGGCATAACGGACATACATAAGTTAGAATTTGACCATACAGTCTGAAAATGAAGGAGAACAGTTAGAACCTGACCACACAGTCTGAAAATGAAGGTGAACAGTTAGAACCTGACCATACAGTCTGAAAATGAAGGTGAACAGTTAGAAC